CCACAGCTTTAATCATTTTCTCTGTAACATTTAGATATTTGCACACTGTATTATGTTGTGTATAGCTTCTCACTTCCTGATTACTTAACTGGTTCTTGAGCTGCTGGATGGTTTGCTGTTTTATGTGGATTTCCTGAGAACACAGGTTTTTCTTTTTCTCCAGTTTATTTTAGTTTTCAGTAATTTCTCCTCATCGTGCATTACAGAAACCTCTTCTGTATTTGCTTAATCTGATTTTGGACATCAGCCAATTTCTCTTTCAGCTCAGCATAATCTTTTCTCTGAAGATCTGCTATCATACTTTGGGCAAGAGCAGCACATAGGGGCTGGGGAGATAGCTCAGTAGAGTAAGTGCTTGCCTGGCAAGCACAAGGGTCTGAGTTCAATTCCTGTCTCAAAAAAAAAAAAAAAAAAAGAGCAAAGCATGCAGAGAGTTCATTCGATTTTTGGTTTTTGTCTGTTGGCTTTCTTCTTCTTTTAATTGAAATGAATATTTCAGATCCTACAAATTATTTAACTAGTGAACAATTTCTTTTCTTCAATTTAACTTTATTTGCACTTAAATCTTTGATGCTTTCAATAGAATCCTTAAAATTTGCTTGAAATTCCTTCAGATCTTTTTCTAGCTTTAAGATAACAAAATATCTTACTCTTTAGTTTTTCAATTTTTTGTGGTTCCTGGATCTGATGATATTTTTGGAGGACGCCTTCATGATTTTGTTACATTCTTTCTAAAGGGCTTCAGTACTAGAGTGGAAAGAACTTTCCCTCTGAATTCTTGACTATGATATTATTTACCCTGCTTACTTTCCAAAAACGTATTACTTGCAAGGTATAACTGTGCTTTTAGCAAATTCTCTGAGGACCATTTAACTGAGTCCTGAGCTTGAGCAAATCCACATCTGAGATCTGAGAAAATGAATCAAATGAATACAGTTCATGTGTTTTTGTCTGCAGTAATTTTATCTGTGAAATATTGCTTGTGATGTTTCTTGTAGCAACTTCCATCTTTTCTGACAATTTTATCATCTTTTCTTCATGTTCTTGATTTAGATTTCTCTGAACAGTTGGTTCAGCATAATTTGTTCGAATTTGTTAGAATGTTAACTTATACTTAAATGTAAACTCTTTTTTAGAAGGAAAGTTGTTCTGCAAACAATCTGTTCATTTAAATTTTCCTTCTCCTTTTCATTTTTAAGTTCATTCTCAACAATGAGTACAAATGTTTTCAGCTCTTTATTCTTTTCTTGTAAGACCCTGATATTGTCCCTACTCTTCTGAAAATGTCTGTTGCACTTCACTTTTCTTTTGGTCTTTGGTGATAAATTAATTAACAAGTGCAGGTCTCTTTAAGGCTCAATTTAGTATAGATAGAAACAAAAGACATGTTTCCATTTTAAAAACAACTAGTGAGCTATACTTGTGCATATGGGAGGGTATCAGTCTAGATACTAGTAGCTATTTTGTCAACCAAGAGTACCATCTCTTGAGAAACACTTTTTCCATTTATATAATTCACTTGTACAATTGTGTAATTCGTACAGGGATCACCATATACAGCACTTCAGGCCTCTTTCAGACAGCAGCGTTTGTGGGTGGATATGGGACACAGGTTGGTAGAACTGCTATTTATTCATATCTATTACTAGTTCAGTGTCTCTCATATAATTAGGTATGTGAGACTTGTTTAAAAATCAATAGATACAATCCTCTATTTCCTCCTTTGATGACACAAAAATCTCTACAGTCATCTGACTCTGCTGTAATAAAATCTTATCCCATTTTAGCAATTTCATGTAAGTTGATTTGAAATGCACATTACTCAGTTTTTTTTTAAATAAGTTTCAAATTTTGCTGATAGCTGTAACTACAGTTGCTTTTCTTTATCTCTGTTGCCACATGTACAAACTCTAAGGTTCTTGAGTTTTGCTCATTCACAAGGTTGTTGTCAGGTTTAGGCAGATAAGCTATATACATAAGTTTATTAATTATATTCTGAACAAATTTCTCTTGGTAGTTTTCACTCAGCATAAAATAGTCTAGGACCTCTCACATACCAATGTCTGTGTTCACCATTACTACTGCGTTGCTCAAAGGATCAAAGGGTAGGAGCTCAAAGGCAAACCCTGGGTGCAAGTGAGATCGTGTTGATAAAGTCCAGAACAAGTGACTCAGATCCCACAGTTCCTACAGTCTGAGTATTGGGCCAGACAGAGACCATTCTAATGTTCTTTTCATGGTTACTGACCAGCCTAAGAAGACCACAGTCCTGTTCCTAGAATAATTTCAGTGTGTTTGAGGAGTACCAACCTAGCATGTTTAAAAGAAAAAAGAAGTACAAGTATGTTTTTGTTATAAGAAATGGTGATGCAGGATGACTTTGCATTCTTGTATTAGTTAAAATCATTTTGGTTTTAAGTAACAGAAACTAACTCAAAGTAGCCTATGGAGGAAAAGAGTCATATTATAGAGAATGATGTTTAGTAGAACCAAAGAATAGAAATGCATATGGGGTTTAGAAGAGCCCAAACTTAGAGTCAGGAACTGAATAGAAGCTGAATTTCTTGCTCCAAATCTGCTTCTCTATACACATCTACCACGTACTTCCCTCTCTGTGTCTCTGACCCAAATGGCGGTCTCCTGAAAGTACTTCCCACAATGGGATTATCATGGCAGAGGCTGGATGCCCATGATTTGAGGCTGTGGTAGAAGGAAGGCATGTCCCTGAGTGGGACGACAGGAAAAGAAAAAAGTTGTATCCATAGGCTACTTAAATATACTGATTCTACCAAGTTAGTTTCCCATGCACAAAAATCACTTTCCATTACATTTCCTCACTGTCTGTTAATAGCACCATTAGTTTTTCTGCCTTACACATTTCAATTCTTCGTCTCTCATGTAGAGTCAATCAAAAGGTCATAATGATAATAAAAACATTAGTTTTTAACATATGGGTGAAAGTTTGTAATTAGATCAGGATTTGGAGTTGAACTAAAACTTGCTTTCATTACCACTAGCTACATGACCTTGGAAAAATTATTCTCAGAAGTATTTTGAGGGCCGGCCATATAACTCAGCAGATTAAAGCGCCTGCAAGCAGGCACAGGGGCTGGAGGTTCAATCCATTGGCTGGCCATTCCAGCCCGCCCCCAAGGGCACTGATGAGACAGCAATTGAGACTGGGCGTGGTGGCGCGAGTTTGTAATCCCAGCTCTTGGGAGTCTGTAAACAAGCGGATCACTATGAGTCAGATCTAGTAGTGAGACCCTGAACACCCTGTAGACCCTTCCCTAAAGTACAAAAAAATTTTTAAAAAAGTGTTTTGCCCAACTATAATGTGGGGACCTTATATTAATCTTATTGGATTGCTGGTTAAATTAATATATATGTGGAAAGCATTTAGCATCTTTTATATTAAATCAAGCACTAACTGTAAATACTGTGCTAAAGAGTTTTATTAATGTAAGTAATGATAAATACATTTATATAACTTAATTTTTTGTAGTTTATGAAACCTTTGGCCCAACTTTTTATCTAACATTCACAAAACCTTGAGAGACCAATAATGTCCCTGTATTAGAGACGGAGATATCAACAGAGAAATGAGAACACTGTTACGTGTAACTGTATAGAAGTTACTCCAGTTGTTATAACCTATGTAACCGGCTCCATTTTTGTAACTAGAACAGCTATTTTGTTATGTAAGTCTGTATGTTTCTGTTATAACCTATGTGATTGATTCCATTTTGTAACCAGAATAGCCATTCTATTATACACCTCTGTATGTTTCCACTGTAACTTTATTAATGAGGACTGTTTGGCATAAGCTGACAATTTAGACTTCATCTTTGTGGCTCAAGTTGTCCATCTGGCCTCTGAACACAGTTTTGTTAATGTTCAAAACATTCCTTTGTTCTGAGCCACAGATTGTTAAAAGCAGTCTATACAATGTTTCCTGTGATCAGCCTCATAGCCTAAGATAACTTTCTGTTCCAATTCCAAGGACAAGTCCCTGTTCACAATGTTTCTTGTGATCAGCCCCATAGCTTAAGGTAATAACTTTCTGTTCTAAGGATAACTCCCCGTTCCCCAAATTATCTCTGTATCTTTTTGTGACATCCTGTGATCAACACCATGCCATAAGAATTAATTATTTGGTCCTAAAAATTGTAACCGCATATGAGAAGAATGTAACCTGTTTCCCCTAAGTGGACGCTGACCCCAGTGCTGCATTCCCTCGCGCTCAAGTCAGCCCTCTCTTTGCGGTTTTCAGCTTTCAAAACCCTTGTCTCTCCCCACCTCGGTGCGCACATAGTTGGAGAGGAAAGTAAGTGCCAACCGCTGAGCTCAGCTAAATAAAGCGCTTTTAAGTTGAGTCTGGTTTTTGATTTTTGGGTTCCAACACCAATAGAGTGAATATCCAGTCTGGAAGTTGTAGGAAGATTATCCGGGTGCGGATCATGTCCATGTAGCTGGGGTCCAGGTCTTGGTAGGATGATTGACCTGAGTTATCTCTGAGATCCTGTGCTTGCTCGTTTATTCACACATACAATAAATATTAACTGATCCCTTACCAGAAATTGTTCAGGAGTCTGGGATACAGCACAAACACCCAAGAAAAAACTCAATATGTGCCTCAAGATATGCACATATAGAAATAGTCTATATATAACGTAAGTTTTCTATAAAGCAGAAAAGATAAATATGAAAATAACCTAATTTTCAGTTCTTTACATAGATTTCATTTAAGAACCCACTGACCGCATCCTCCTCTCCAGACTTGTCCCCAAATTTAAAACTATCAAGGCAAAAGAAAATTGTGTCATTTAGAGCGCCTCATCCCAATCGGGATGAAAGAGAAAGCCTTGAAAAGTGGGCGGGACTTTGGGAGTGAAGGGAGGTAAGAAAGAGCCCGGAACTAAAGTTTCAGCGGTTGAGGTTCTCGTGGGAAGTCAATTCTGAGGACCGGTAGTGGGACGCTCTCGGGCTGTTTCCGGCCACCTCAGCGCGAAGCGGAGACGCAAGCGCCCGTATCTCCGGGAACTGAGCGAGAGGCTTTACTGTCCTCTCTCCAGGGCGAGTGAGAACGACGCCTGCGGCAGTGCGGGGCAGGGTCGGGTCCCAGTGAAGATGGTGTTGCTAACGATGATCGCCCGAGTGGCGGACGGACTTCCGCTGGCCGCGTCGATGCAGGAGGACGAGCAGGTGAGCTGCCCCCGGCCCGCGCTGCCCCGACCCCGCGGAGCGCCGTGCTGTCCTCCGCCCGGGCTCCTCCCGAGGACGTGGGGAGCCCCGCGACTCCTCCTCAGTAGCTTTACTAGCAGCAGAATATTACAAGTCGTGAATTTGGGGGCGAGTTCCCCCAAAGTCGAGACGGGGTGACGATGGTTATCTCCAGAACGTGTTTCCAAGAGAACACAGGGCAGGACGTACCTGCCGTGTGGGAAGATCCTGCCTTCAGGAGCGATCTCCTCTCGCAGGTAGTCGCCACCCCCCAAAGGTAAAAGAGCACGCTCCCTTACAGCCGAAGGACTTGAAAATGATGTGTGTAGTTAAGAAATCGCACGTTTCTTTCCTTGGACTTTTCGTTTGTTATTCATGAAAAAAGAAAGATTTGAGTTCATCAGATAGGCCAGGCATGGTAATGCAGGGGATTAGAAGACACAGTCTACCTTCGTGGGAGTTCTAGTTCACTGGAAAAGTCAGCTAACAAACTACTGTGACGTAAATTTAGAAGAAATTAAGAATAGAATTAAGAAGAGGGTTCTCGGATTGGACATGGAAAGATGTCTAAGTTGGTTTTGGAGATCAGGAGCGTTTTCATACAAATGACATCCAAGCTGACAGTAGGATCCAGTACTAAGGGACTCGTCTGTTTGGCCTAATGACATTTACAGTTTGAAATTAAATAGTGTGCTCTTTTTCTCCTTTAGAAGAGTAGCGCTACAGATTGAGTTGCAGATTATGCCAAGTAAAAATATTTTATTCATTCTACAAAACAAAGTCTGTAATCATTCAATATATTGTGAAAAAATCCACTACACAAATTTTTCAACTGTGAAATATTTTTCTTCTCCAATTTAAGAATTTTCTGTGCGGACCACTCTATAGAAGGAAGGTAATTGTTCAAGTAAGCCAAGAACATGGTTTAAACAAGGGAGATAGTGTGGACAGATTACCTTGAAAGACAGGTAGTATGACAAACATTTCACTCACAAAGGGTGACAGTGAGGCGGAGAGGTTAATCGACTGATAATTTTCCAACTTGTACATTGAATTCTGTGGGCGAAGATGCAAAGTGCATTCAAAAGTCTACTTAATACTAGTGGGTTTCTATCATCTACCTTGATACTTTATTGAAAAATTAGTTGACTTGTTATTGTTTGTTTCTTAATTTGGTATATACTAAGATAGGTGTTTTGTTTCATTGACAAGGAAAGAAATTTTACGCAAAAAATGTATTTGTGCAGTCGGGGAGATAGCTCAGTAGAATAAGCGCTTGCCTGGCAAGCACAAGGGCCTGAGTTCAATCCCTGGTTCTGCCAAAAAAAAAAAAAAAGTGTTTCTTTAAACCCATCATATTTTCCTTTGGGAATTTTGATTTTGAGTAATAGTCTTTCCTAAGTTTTCAGTGTCTCAAAAAATGATCCTAGTGGGGCTGGTGAGATGGCTCAGTGGTCTAAAGCACCTACTTAGAACAAACTAAGCTAATAAAGCACAGGGACCGCGGTTCAATCCCCCAGCACCACATGCCAGCCAGCCCCACCCCCTGGTGGGCTGAGCTGGCCACACACACAAAATAAATAAATAAATAAATAAATAAATAAATATTTAGAAAAAAAAAATGATCCTAGACTTATTTTTAGGCTGATAATTGTATATGTAGAACATTTATAGAGTGCCTATTACATGCCAGCCACTGTGCTAAGCCTAAGTGCATTTTTTCACTCAATCCTCATAGCAGCCATATTAGACTAGGTACTGTTATCTCTATAGATAAGGATAAGCCCATGAGGCTTGTAGAAAATAGATCACTTGCTTATGTCACTCAGTTAAATAATTAGCATAGTGAAATTTTTCAACAGTGTTTTTCACTTCAGTACTGTTGATGTTTTGGGAAGGATAATTCTTTGTTATATGGAACTGTACTGGGTATTATAGGATGTCTAGCTACATTGCTGGCCTTTATGCCCAATTGTCAGTAATACCTCCCTCCCCTGCTTTGTTATGACAATTCAGAGTAATTCCAGCTATTATAAAATGTCCCCTTGGGGGCAAAAACACCTGTTAGTGCCTAAACCATACTGGCCTTCCTTGTCTTAAGGTGTTGTATATTTAAGTGCTCCGTGACCCAATCACCTTACAGAAGCTGCATCTCTAAATGTATGAGACTTTGGGGGGATATTTTAGATATGAATCATAACATGATAATGTTGACATGTTTATAATTCAATGTGAAATACAGTTTAATACATAAAACTGTATACACATACGTATGTTGACACAGAAGTGTTTCTCAAATGAGTAGCATTACATAGTGAATGATTTCCATAATAGCAATGCTTAAAAAAGATAAACCTACAGCTAATCCTTCAAGTAGGTTCTGCCTGACATCCCTGATATGCTTCATGTATGTCTCCTAGTGCAATGTCCAGTTTACTGTCTTTTTATATTGTGCATTTGCTGACCTGTTACTTTATCATTTTATCATTGCTTCCTTGTTTTTACTATTAGGTTGGCAGATTACTATCTAGAATTTTAAGATTTTACTTCATACTTTTTCAAAGTTAGACCTTAGGACTCAAGATCCTGGGAGAATGTAGTAACACTGCCTTTTCAACATTTAGTTTTTAAAATTTACCTTGGGAGACTGCATTCCATCTTTCAATCCAAAATAAGTAAATCCAAAATAGAATAATTCTTTCCATCACACAACAGTGTTCACAAAATAGGTGGCTTATAAAAATCAGAAATTTATTTTTCCAGTTCTTGAGACTGGGAAGTCCAGGATTAAGGGGCTGGCCGAATTTGGATCTGCTGAGGGCCTGCTTCTTATTCACAGATGGTGTCACTGGCTGGATCCTTAAAATGTGAAAAGCAGCTATGTCTTGGGATCTTTTATAAGGGCATGAATTTCAGTCATTAGGGTTCCCCATGACTCTTAATTCCTTCCCAAAGGTTCTCCTTCCAATCATCTTGGGGGTTAGGATTTCAGCATGTGGATTTTGGAAGGGAAGCAAGCATTCAAACTATTGCTGGCCTGACCAGTTTATGGATGAATAAGCAATGTGTATTTGCTTCAGATTCTTCATGCATTTCTTTTCCTCTTTTTATCTATTAGGCTGCAAGGTGTGATTTTTTTTTCCTCTTTTGAAATAACACTACTATAGTAGTAAGCACTTTTCTAATATATATGATCCCTGTGTCTAGTTCTAGCAGTAAAGGAAAAAGAAATTTATACAACTTTCTCCGGTGGAACCCCTTCCTTGATTGTAAAAGTATTTAAACATTATTCAGAGACACATTGCCTGTAACTATATTATTTGAATGCCATTTTTATTTTTGTTTGCATATATACCTCACTATTCAAATTTGCTGTCCAAACATGGGAACCGAATAGGTATATGCAGTAAAAGATATTTAATTTTCCAGTCTTTGGTATAACCTGCTCATTTTTGCATAGTTACAGTCATAGTGTTTGTGTAGTTTTTACACATAGATACACACATTCAGTTTTGTTTAAGTGCTCACTAATACAGCATTCTGCATAAGAGTCTACTTGATATTCCAGCCTAAAAATGAGATTCAGCAGTCTTTAGTTCCCAGGGTTTTCTCCTGAGTACAGTGCATGCTGGGTAGGTGAAAGTGCAGTGGGTTCGGAATAGGACACTGCCCTAATAGTGGAAAGAGCATTGAGAGTGCTACATGTAGTTGAGATACACACTTTTGCTTCTTAGCAAATAAAAATTGGATCTTTTTGAAGAACTGGTCATTAGGTCTTTCCTTGTGTTCTAAAAGTGGGCTGTTTTTCTTTCATGAAGACAAATCATATTAACCTGTAGATGAAAGAACTTCATGTAGTGTCCTCATAATACCATGATATTTCTTGCTAACTGATACAGCTTCTTTCTGTCGAAAATTCTTAAATGGAAGTGTACTCTTTTCAGTCTGGCCGGGACCTTCAACAGTATCAGACTCAGGCTAAGCATCTCTTTCGAAAGTTGAATGAACAGTCTCCTACAAGATGTACCTTGGAAGCAGGGGCCATGACTTTTCAGTGAGTATAGTTCTGATTTTTTCATGAACATTTAAATATGGAAGACAGTAATGTAGCACCTTGTAAGAATGATAACGATTTTTCTAAAAGTAAAGATAACTTTGTTTATTTAATATGGGCTTACAGTAATTTTATCCTGTTAACCTGTGTATACTGAATTCTGTACTCATCATTCAGTAATACATCCTTTAGAAATATTGTGGGTATTAGAGAAATGCAAAGTAAAACTACTTTGAGATACCATTTTATCCTGCAAGGAATGATTATATAAAAAAATCTAGGGGCTGGTGAGATGGCTCAGTGGTCTAAAGCACCTACTTAGAACAAGCTAAGCTAAACAAAGCACAGGGACCGCGGTTCAATCTCCCAGCACCACATGCCAACCAGCCCCGCCCCCTGGTGGGCTGAGCTGGCACCACACACACACACACACACACACACACACACAAATAAATAAAAAATGTAAAAAAAAAAAAAAAATCTAGTAATAACAAATGCTGTCCAGGTTGCAAGCAAAAAAGAATTCTGCATTGTTGTGTGGAAGTTAAACTTATTCATCTACTGTGGAAATCAGTGTGAAGAGTCCTTAAAAACCTAAAAATAGAAATTATACTTGACCCAGCTATTTCCCTTCTAGGTGTTTTCTTAGACGATATCTTATAAGTACCAAGGAATATCATTTTATTAGGTATCAGGAAACCTCTGGAATTTGAAAGCTAGTCAATATTGTCCTTTTTACTTTTGGGGAATAAAACTAGTTATATAGAAAATGATATATCTTGAAGGCAAGGAGGGCAATTCAGGAGTTTATGCAAGCAACAGGACATTAATATTATTTAAGGGGATGAGTGATCATGAAATAGACTTTAAATTATCCTCTGTGGAGCCCAAGGATGCTTCAGGAGTCACATAGAAAGGTTGGGGATGGGAATTTAAGTAGTCTGCTGCACACGTTAGTCTTTTGAATATAATTTTATGCTGAAATAAAGAATACTATAGGTAAAAAGAAACTTGAAAGCCTATTGGCAGCCTAACCTTTATCCAACAATAGTTCATACATGTAGTCATGTATGTACTTGTTCATTTGTGTAGTTTGTGCATGTGGTTAAAGGAGTTATATCTCCTTCCAGAATGCCAGGGAGCTTGCTTGACAAAGAATTTGGTTCTATTGCTTTTTGTTTTTTTTTTAAATTTATTTATTTATGTGTGTGTGTGGCCAGCTCAGCCCACCAGGGGGCGGGGCTGGCTGGCATGTGGTGCTGGAGGATTGAACCGCGGTCCCTGTGCTTTGCTAAGCTTGTTTGCTCTAAATAGGTGCTTCAGACCATTGAGCCATCTCACCAGCCCCAGGTTCTATTGTTAAATAGTTTCCAATGATTACAGAGTTCTATCTAGAAATTAGTCAGATTAACTCTAAGATTGCAGTTTTCTGTGCCCAGCAAATAAAGATCTAGGATGTGCTTGTGAATGATGATGAATTCAATCCCAGGTACCACAAAAATAAATACACAAATCCTCCTTTTAGTACATACTTATAATGATGGAAAAGGTTTGTTTTGTAATCCTGCGGACTTGAGGTTTGACATTTACTTTGTGACTTAGCCAGCTCCGCAAGGATTAGGCTCAATATTTTGAAGTTTATAATGGTTCTAAGAGTCTGCTTTAATCATTCTCACATCGTTGTTTTATAGATAACTTTGTCTTGCTTTTTTTTTTTTAATTTTATTTATTTGTGTGTGTGTGTGTGTGTGTGTGTGGCCAGCTCAGCCCACCAGGGGGCGGGGCTGGCTGGCATGTGGTGCTGGGGGATTGAACCGCGGTCCCTGTGCTTTGCCAAGCTTGTTCTAAGTAGGTGCTTTAGACCACTGAGCCATCTCACCAGCCCCTGTCTTGCTTTTTTTTTCCCCTCCAGCTACATTATTGAGCAGGGAGTGTGCTATTTGGTTTTGTGTGAAGCTGCTTTCCCTAAAAAGTTGGCTTTTGCCTACCTAGAAGATTTACATTCAGAATTTGATGAACAGCATGGGAAGAAAGTGCCTACCGTATCTAGACCATATTCCTTTATTGAATTTGGTAAGTTTTGCACCTCACTTCTCATGAAGTATTATAAAACTTTTTGTTACACTAATTTAATACTGATATGTTTGTTTCCTTTTTGCTCTTTTTGGGAAAGTATCTTATGATGTAGTTTAGGCTATCCTTGAACTCATAAGAAACCTCCTTCCTTAGCCTCCTGAATGCTGTGATTTCAGGTGTGCAACAACAAGCCAGCTTTTCCATGTTGTTCCCTCTATCCCCTGCAATTTATACTACTGAAATTTTGGCTTCTGCTTTCTCTCCAATTCTTCCACTTCTTTTTGTCCTTTTGAATTAGATTTTTCTGTAGTCCTTTGATCTTTTTACCACAGAACTTGTGTCTTGATTTTTCCCCACAGGATTTGCCCCTTGGCTTGGTTCTTGTCATTTGTAACAGTAATTATGTGAAAGAGCTCTACTTACCTGGCTTGTAATAGCTGAGTTATTCTGTAGAAACATACTAACAATATGACCCATTTTATGGAGATCAGAATTTGGAAACCAGAAAGAATGTATTTTTTTCTTTTTAGTAGAATAAGGTCTATTAAAAAATACTAGAAGATATATAGACAGTATTCGAGGATAATATTTACTGTATTAAGTACAGAGTATGATGTCTGTGTTTGTACAAGAATTATGAAAAGACTCAGTGCCAGTTAGGCCTAATAAAATACCTGATGGCAGTAGATCAAAGCAAATGTCCTAAATCCACTAAATGTGGAAAATGAGTACAAGTAGGATTAGGCTACATCACTGATATTTTTGGTTAAAAAAAAATTAGGTTTATTATCTTAGACTTACTGAAGTGTTTCAAGTTTACTGAATAAGTGGACCATCTTGCTTTATAGAAATAGAGAAAAATTGACAAACCACTCTAGTGTTTTATAACTGTAAACTCTCCAAGTGTTAACTTATATAATGTCTAGTTTTTCAAATTTTATTTTTGTAGCTACTAACAGCCCAGTAAATACAAAGGGAAAAAAACTGACTGACACATGAAATTAATGTTGCACTCAGATTAGCTTAATGGTACACAAAGATATGAATAAGTTGTAAGAGAGCCACAAGATAGAGTAACATGGGATCGGTAACACATTAGTTGCTAGAATCCCCAGGCCTAAAGGTTTAAGGGAAAAGATCAGTTTTGGGACCTGAGAAAGATCGTTTATAGAGGAGACCAATGTGGGAAAAGCAATAGAAACATAATCCTGTCAGCCCTAAGTAATTGCTTGGGAAAATGGGAGTAAACACCCTGACATTGTTATCTGCTCTCTGTCATCCCTACTGTTACAGTTTTCATTGCCTCATCCTAATTGGAAATCAAGGTAATGTGCCCATTAATTGCTTCATATAGGTTAGGCTCCTGAGGCAGAAAGGGCATCTAAAGAGGCAAACAAAAGGTATCCAATACACATAAATTCCTGTTTCTCCAAAGTTGAAAATATCTTTAGGGGCTGGTGAGATGGCTCAGTGGTCTAAAGCACCTACTTAGAACAAGCTTAGCAAAGCACAGGGACCGTGGTTCAATCCCCCAGCACCACATGCCAGCCAGCCCCGCCCCCTGGTGGGCTGAGCTGGCCACACACACACACACACACACATACACACATAAATAAATTTTTAAAAATGCAGAAAAGAAAATATCTTTAAAGCTAAATCATTGTTTTTATTGTTTGCAGAAGCACATATGAATGAATTAAACCACAGTTTTCTGTTAGTGTTTTGGGAAACTCTTGATCACATGTTTGCTTTCCCTGTACTTTAAAAACAGGGCCACATTGGGAAAGTACAGTAAAAAAAAAAAATATTGTAGTGGAGAATTTCTCAACTATATTAGCTATAATGATGGTAGAGTTTTCTTGTTTGTATCCTTTTAGGGAAGTTAATAGACTTAAGTAAGAAAACATTAAGAATCCCCAAATAGTTTGAAATTTTCTACTTTGAAGAAAGGCTTATACTAGTAGATTTTAGTTTCCCTAAGGATTCTGGTAGTAAATCTAATTCAGAGATGTCCAAAGGACATTTCTACTGAATGGTCATCTATTTGAATCTTGACATTTTACAAATGAGCAAACAAAAGCCTAAGTTTTTTTATATTCTCCCCAAGTGTTTAAACTATGGACCGTCACATATTCAGGAATAAACTGAGAACTTCTGATTCCTGACTTTATTTCTTTGGTGGAAAAAATCATTGTTGTTAATGGTCACTTTTCTTCATCATTTTAGATACCTTCATTCAGAAAACAAAGAAGCTCTACATTGACAGTCGTGCCCGGAGAAACCTGGGCTCCATCAACACTGAGTTACAAGATGTACAGAGGATCATGGTGGCCAATATCGAGGAGGTGTTGCAAAGGGGAGAAGCACTCTCAGGTATCTGAAAGCAAGAATCTTAGAAGAGGTGGTTCTCATACTATAGACAAAGGCAGGCTATTTTGCAGTAGCTTTTATTGCTCTAAGATTCTACTTCGAACTTTTAACATTTATGTGTCAGAGATACATTGCATTACAAAGCCTTTCTGTGTGAAATGTTTTTTCCTGGCATCATAGTTTTTTTTGGTTGAGACAGACAGGGTCTTGAAATGTAGTCCAGGCTGTCCTTGAACTCACTATGTAGCCCAGGCTACCCTTAAAACTCCCAACAATCCTGCCTCAGTCCCCTGAGTGCTGGAATTACAGGTGTGTATCACCATGCCCAGCTGTATCATTGGTTTTTATTGCCTTAAAACAGTGTAAAGGACTCATCCATGTCAGAAGCAGTTGCTATTCAAATAATTTATAAAATTAAGAAAATTATGGGCTGGAGAGAGCTCAGTGGCCTAAATTCCTCTTTGGTAAGTGCAAGGATCTGAGTTCAACCCCCAGTGTCGCAGGCCGTGCCACCCTGGAACCCCAGGGATGCTGTGTGGGCCCAGAAACCAGGCGTGGTAGTGCATGCCTATAATCCCAGCACTGGGGCAGCTAAAACAAGGGGATCAGTACGAATCTGAGCTGCATAGCAATATCCTGTAACAAACAAATACCTTAATAAATAGAAAATAACATATAAACTATTTGTACAAAGTTAAGGATATTGAAAAGGAAGTATGAGAGGCAGTTATTTAAGATTATTGTAGTAGTTTCACAAGTAGCCTCTTTGGGAGACTTCTTTGCTACCAGGTTATTCTTTATAAAAAGGCATACCTGTAGTGAAGAACTTATTCTATAAGATAAGAACTAGCTTGCTCTCAAATTCCTTTACTCGTTGTTGTGTGTAAGACATTGTGCTAGTTTATAAATAGGAGGTTGCAGACATCTACTGTTCTCACTTAGTAAACTTTCTCCCTCAGCCAAGTCAGCTTCTTTTTTTGTTTGTTTTGTTTTGGTTTTTTTTTGGCGGAACCGGAGATTGAACTCAGAACCTTGAGCTTGCCAGGCAAGCGCTTATTCTACTGAGCTGTCTCCCCGGCCCCCCAAGTCAGCTTCTGAATGGTGCTTCCTCACTGCATGCTGGACCTGTTCCTTGAGCTGTAGACAAGAACTGCCTCTTTTAAGAAGCCTTCCCTAATCTTTGTATCCCATCTCACATTAATCTCTTTTGTAGGTTAAATTCTTAATGCATTTAGTTAGATAATATTTTAGTACATAATTGTGTAATCTGATACTTTATATATTTATGTTTATTAATATATATCAAACATGTATTTTGTATAAGCTTTGATATATTTGAACAAATCTAAAAGTTAGGTAAAATTAGGTATATTTTTATCGCTTCTCGGACTTTTGGCTAAGATCAAGTGTAAAATTAGGCATTTTTACTTAGTGATTTTTTTTTTTCTTTTTTTGCGCTATTTTAAATGATAGGTAATTAGTTAAAATTAGCCTGAAAATATATGTACCATGTGTATGTGTATCTCTGTATTTCTTAGACTGGGCCTGGTGGCACACACCTGTAATCCCATTGCTTAGGAGGCTGAAAACAGGAGGATCACTGCGGGTCTGATCTGTGTAGTGAGACCTGTAGATCCTCTACTAAAATACAAAAAAAAGAAAGTATTCCTTGAATTTGGCCTTACTATGTTTCATGACTAAATAGATTTTATTTATTTTGAACTGCAATCTTTAGCCTTTATTTCATTTTTTAAAATTTATCTTTTGCAAATATTTTTATCTGAAGTTAATTGAATCTGCAGGTACCAAAAACAGAAATATGAAGGGCTCATAAATATATAAAACCTACAACAAAAATATCAAAAATACTGGAGTTCATTGCATTCAGATAGAATTAAAGATTCTTTTTTTTTTTTTTAATTTATTTATTTATCCATCTATCCATTTATGTGTGTGTGGCTAGCTCAGCCCACCAGGGGGCGGGGCTGGCTGGCATGTGGTGCTGGGGGATCGAACCGTGGTCCCTGTGCTTCAGGCAAGCTTGTTCCAAGTAGGTGCTTTAGACCACTGAGCCATCTCACCAGCCCTAGAATTAAAGATTCTTATCCAGTGATTTTCTTTTTCCTCTTGGTTTTGTTTTTAAAATTTATTCATTTCTTTTAATTTTTAAAAAAGTTTATTGGTACGTGTTTATATTTTCAGTACATATTGATTACATTCAGTGAGGAGTTGGTACATGTACATAAAACATTTTAATTCTTTTGGTATACTATTTCCCTGCCTCCCCTCCTTGGTGTATTTTTTTTCCTTCTCCTTTTCTTTCTTTTTTTTAAGGAAGGGTCTACAGGGTGTTCAGGGTCTCACTACTAGATCAGACTTGTAGTGATCCTCCTGTTCACAGCCTCAAGTGCTGGGATTACAGGCGCGCCACCATGCCCAGTCTCAATTGCTGTCTCATTGTGCCCCAAGGACAGGGCTGGCATGGTAGGCCCCGGGATGGAACCCCTGGCCCCTGCATCTGCTTGCAGGCACTTTAATCAGCTGAGCTATTTGGCCAGCCCATCCTTCCCCTTTCTTCCTCCTTCTTCCATTACTGTTTTTCCTATTGTCTTTTATGTTGCTCTTTATTTATATTTTGAGTTTCTTATGTAAGAGAAACCATGTGATCTTCAAGTTTGTATATTTTATTTAACATCCATATTCTGACAATTGACTCGTGTATCTTTCTTTATGCCTAAGGAGTACTCCATTTTGCCTATAAGCCATATTTTCTTTATCCATTCGTCTGTTGATGAACATGTAGGCTGCCCAAGATTTAGCTGTGGTTATGCTTGTATCACTAAAATGTGATGTCTTTAACTAAGAATCTTTGTACTGATTTCCTCCATGGTTAAAGTTTTTGTCCACTTTATCAAAGATCTGATAGCTGAATTTGCTTGGAATTGTTTCTATATTCTCTAGTCTGTTTCACTGGTCCACATATCTTTTTTTTCTTCATGCCAGTACCATGCTGTGTTTATCACTGTAGCCCTACAGTATAACTTGGAATTGTGAATCATTCTGCCTTATTCTTGTTGCCCAGGACTGCAGTTGCTATTCTGGGTCTCTTCTGGTTCCATATGAATTTTAGGATTGTTTTCTCTAGTTCTGTGAAGAATGCTTTTTTTTTTTTTTTTTTTTTTTTTTTTGCGGAACCGGGGATTGAACTCAGGCCCTTGAGCTTGCCAGGGAAGCACTTATTCCACTGAGCATCTCCCCGGCCTGCTATTGGCATTTTGATTGGGAGTGCTTTAAGTCTGTATATCATTTTGCAAATACGGCCATTTTGACCATATTGGTTCTGTCTCTGCAGGAACAGGATCTCTTTTTCTTTTGGCTGGCTCAGGCTGCCTTAAGGGCAGGTCTGGTGCACCATGTGAAGTGACATGTGAAGCTGGAGATTGAACCGCAGTCCCCTGCACCTGACTGAGTTTGCCCAAGCAGGTGCTTTAAACGAGCCAACCTTTGCCCCCTCCCGTCTTTCTGTTTCTTCACAGAGTGTACATCTTTCCAACTTAGTGCTGTGACAAAACACCCAACATCCACAAATTAAAGGAGAGAAGGTTTATTTCACTCACAGTTTGTGGAGCTTTCATTCTTTAATCGACTAGCTTCAAGGCTAGTAAACAGGCCTCACAGAGGAGAAACATGCATGGCAGACAGGAGTAGCAAAGCAATAAGGAACCTCAGCAGCATCTTTCTGGGCTACTGGGATTAGGGTGGTGTCAAGCCAATCAGTGGACTAATTCAGTAATCACACACCCTTAATCAAGTATTGCACCATGAGTCAGTCATACACTAGATCCAGCCACGTTTGAAAAAGCTTGACCTGGGGCTGGAGAGATGGCTCAGTGGTCTAAAGCACCTACTTAGAACAAGCTTAGCAAACCATCAGGGACCGCGGTTCGATCCCCCAGCACCACATGCCAGCCAGCCCCGCCCCCTGGTGGGCTGAGCTGGCCACACACACACACCCCTCTACACACAAAATAAATAAATAAAAATTAAAAAAAATTAATTAAAAAAAATTAAAAAAAAAAAGCTTGACCTATGACTGCATGAGGCATGAGGTTTTGGGGGAACATCTAAACACAAGCCATAACAATTATGATGTATGATTTTTTTTTTTAATTTGTTGCACATGGTTTGCTATATCTTGTCAAGGATTTTTGCATTGATGCTCATTAAAGAGATTAACCTATCACTCTTTTTTGTTGGGTCCTTTTCTGGTTTTGGAATTAGGGTGATGCTAGCTTCCAGGAATGACTTTGGGAGTATTCCTTCCCTTTCAGTTTCATTAAAGAGCTTGAAGAGATTGGTGTTAGATCTGTTCTAAGTTTCTTGAGGAATTTGAGAGTGAATTCATCAAGGCCTGGGTTTTACTAGTTGGTACTTTTTAATTTTCTTCAATCCCATTGCCTAATATTCTTGGTTCAGCTTGGTAGTCCATGTGTACCTAGGAAAAACCTATCCATTCCTTCTGAATTCTCCATTTTATTAGAGTATAAGTTCTCAAATAGTTACTAATAACTTAGATTTCGGCAGAGTCCATTATAATCTCTAGTTACAATGATTTGGGTCTTTTTTGTTTTTTTGGTAAGATTTGCTAGGAGTTTATGTATTTTACTTATTCTTTCAAAAAAACAGCTCTTCAGTTCATCAATCCTTGATATTTTTTTAGTTTCTTGTACTAGCTTTGGATTTGAATTGTTTTTGCAGAACCTTAAAGTATATCATTAGGTTACTTAATTGATCTCTCTCTCTCTCTCTCTCTCTCTCTCTCTCTCTCTCTCTCTCTCTCTCTTTTTTTTTAATGTAGACATTCACAACTATGAACTTCTTTCTCAAGACTGCTTTTATTGTGTCCTGTAGGTTCTGGTAGGTAGTCAAATGACTGGCATTGTCATTTGACTCTAGGAAGTAATTTCTTTCTCTATTTTTTCTGTAACTCAATGATTATTCAGTCAGACATTGTTTAATTTCCTTGTGTTCACATAATTTCTATAGTTGGTTTTGCCATTGATTTCTAGTTTCATTATAGTGTGATCTGATAATATGTATGGGGTAATTTGGTTCTTTTGCATTTACTTAAGCATGCTTTATAGGCAAAGCTAGCATGTGGTCTATTTTGGAGAAAGTCCCACCTGCTGTGAGAATGTGTATTTCATTGTTGGATGGGACACTCTAGATGTCTACTAAGTCCATTTGTTTAAAGGTTTGATTCAACTCTGGCATTTATTGTTATTTTTGTTTGTTTGTTTGTTTTGTTTTTGTCCAGTTGATCTGTACATTTGTGAAAGGGGGTATTAAGGTGCCCATTATAATTGTGCTGGTGTTTAATTTTTTATGTCTAGTTGTGTTTGTTTTATGAAGTTGGACACACTGGTGTTTCACAAATGTGTGTTTATATTTGTTGACTGTCGAGTTATTCCTTTAACCAGTGTAGTATGACTGGCATATAACATGGAAAAGTTTTGATTGTGGCTATTCAGTGTTGTGTACTCCTCACTTACCTGTTTCTTTAATTCATTATGAAATTTGGGAAGTTTTCTGCTGTTATTTCTGTAATGCCCTTTGTGCCACCTTCTGATTTTCACTTATTCCAGTTAATATTAGATTAGGCTTTGTTGCATCATCAAGCAGCTGTTGCACCCATTTATCATGATGTCTTATTGCTTTTAAAGTATCTCTGAGTGATTAGTCTTTAAAAATACTCCTATTTTCTGATTCTGATATTCTGTCATCACATTGGTAACTTTTATTGCCGCCCATACTTTCTTTTGTTGTTTTTATTTTTGTGATTGTTTCATTTTGTTTTTGAAATAGAGTTTGCTTTGTAGTTAAGGCTGGACTTAAAGCTATGTCGATCCATCTGCCTCAGCCTCCTTTGATTGCTGGTATTACAGGTGTTTGCCACCATGACCGGCTTCATAGTTTCAGTGTAATTATTAATGTCCTGCATTTCTGTTTCAGTCCTTTTTGTGAACTCCAGTTCTTTGCAAAACTGGTTGTTCATGTTGCATTATTTTGTTTAGCTCAGCTAGCTTTTTACTAGCTTCTTAAGCTCACAAATTGTTTTTATTACTTCCATTATCTTATTAGCTATTTTGTGTGTGAGAGCCCATCAACACCTCATTGATCTGATTTTTTTTTTTTTTTTTTTTTTTTTTTTTATTGTTTTTTTTTTTTTTTTTTTTTTTTTTTTTTTTTTTTTTACAGTTTAATGTATTTTAATAGCAAACTTACAGGAACAGCACAGAAAGACAGACAACATTAAAAACATGTACTAGCATGTAAGACAACTCAGTTAGAAAAGTATAGTGACTGGATGGAATCCACTGTATGATAAAAATGCTACAAACACCATTTAGTTGCTGTCAATAAGAAATTTACTCGTTTTAAAAAAATCCAAATGCTGGCGTTTTCCAGAAAAATTTAACAGATTTTTATTTATAATTGTTATAAAGTTGAAGTGCTGAAACTTGTTCACTGAAACATTTTTGACTTGCATTAATGCTTTACATCCCGCATGAAGATAAAAATTCACACACAAATGAAAATGGAAAAACTGCCAATACCTGATTTCTGTCCCCTATTTTCCACTCGCAATCATGTACTTAGTTACCTTTTGACCCCACGGAAAAAAAACAAAAAACAAAAAACCTAACATTCAAAACTACCAATAACAGGAAGAAGAAAAAAAAATTTGAGAATGAAATGTTTCCCACCATAGTGGACTCTTAAGCACGTTCTCCACGTATGCGGCGTGCTAGTTGGATATCTTTTGGCATAATTGTTACACGTTTGGCGTGGATGGCACACAAGTTGGTATCTTCAAACAGGCCAACCAGATAGGCCTCACTTGCCTCCTGCAAAGCACCAATAGCTGCGCTCTGGAAGCGCAGATCTGTTTTGAAGTCCTGAGCAATTTCTCGAACCAGACGCTGGAAAGGAAGTTTGCGAATCAGAAGTTCAGTGGACTTCTGATAACGTCTAATTTCACGGAGTGCCACAGTCCCAGGCCTGTAACGATGAGGTTTCTTCACCCCTCCAGTAGAGGGCGCACTCTTACGAGCGGCTTTTGTAGCCAGTTGTTTCCTGGGCGCTTTACCACCGGTGGATTTACGGGCAGTCTGCTTGGTACGAGCCATGGTACTGGGACCTCCTTACCTCCTTCTCCTTTGGCTGGAGCTCGGTGAGCGAGAGGCGGCGCTGGAGTTAGACAGCGACGGCAGCTCGGCGGCGGCTGCGAACACAATTGATCTGATTTTTAATCTGTTATCTTTTCAAACAATTCCAATAGGTGACTTTTTCTTTCCTCCCTCTTGATGCCTCATGGGTCAGCTTTAGGAGAGTTGAAAGTTTTGGGAGGTTTTTGTTGCCTTAACTTCTTATGTTTCTGTTGTTTTGTGTTTGTTTTCTCATTGTGTTTTGTGCTGGTATGTAATCAGTTTGTGAAAGACTTTGTTGGTAGTATTAACTTGAAGTCTTTAGTTTGCTTTTCAGTGATGTACTTGGGGCATGGCTAACTATAGTCCTTTGACTCTGTTCCAATATCTGGTCACCTCTGTTCATGTGGGAGGAAGGGTGTGCTGTAATTGGCCCACCACTTAGTTCTCTGGCAATAGACCATGGTATTAATGTCACAGAGGTAGTCCAGATACAGTAGATCCTTGACTTTTGAATTCAGCTTGTTCCCAAGGACTGGTTTTAACTCAGGTTGTTGACTGAAGTTCAGCTTTTTTGTCTTCTTAAGACCTACCAGAATTTTTCTGGTAAGTTAAGCTGTACGTACAATATTATAAGACATTTCTATCCCACTCTTCCACACTTCTCCCTCAGAGGCTTTTGAACTACATGGTCAAGTACAATCACAGCAATGACCCCTCTTCCCTGGTCCCAGTTTTCTGCACTGGGCACTCTTACTGTTGTTGGGACAGAAAACCTGACACCTGTAACTTAAAGAAGAGGTTTATTTTGACTGATAGTGGTGAAGGAAGATAAATGGCTCATGGCAGCTGGAAAACCAAACAGGTTGGACAGAACTGAAGAGGAAGAGTGTAGGGACTATGTGTAGTTCCCAGGGCCACAAACCCACAACCCACTTTCATCAAGTAGGCTCCTTCAAATAGCCCACCTGCCTGTAAACTCATCAGCATGTGAACTGTTGATGAGGGTCCTATCCTCGCAATACAGTCACCTCCCTAGAATCTGTGATTCCAGTGAGGTTGATAGTGTTTACCAGCACACCCTAATAATAGTTCCTCTGCCCAGTTATTCTCAGCATTTAGAATCTTTCAGCAAATGTGACTAGATAACACTGGCTATATGCCAAGCCCTCTTCTGGATACTTAGGTGTAATAATAAGCCAATAGTTCATATTCCCTGTTCAAATCAGATATGTTGATATATACCTATAATCCCACCATTTAGGAGACTGAGGCAGGAGGATTGCTATGAATTTGAGGCCAGCCTAGGCTACATAATGAGTTCAAAACCAGCCTAAACAACATAGTGAAACCCTGTCTCAAAAAACAAAATAATCAAGGGCCAGCCAAATAGCTCTTGGGAGGCTGTAAATAGGCAGATCAGTTCGAGTCCGATCTAGTAGTGAAACCCTGAACACCCTGTAGACCCTTCCCTAAAAAATACAAATAAATAAATAAACAAACAAACAAATATCCCTGTCAAATGAGTGACATTCTAGTAGATGGCTGAAAGTATACCTTGAGCTTATCGTAGTTATTTCTCATCCTCCATTTTCTTTCATGTCTAAGTTTTAATCTTGTTCCCATCACCAGTTGGGAATTTAGATATGGCTGTCATACTTGCACTAATAAATAATACTATATTTCTCAGTCATAACAGTATCTTAAAAGTACTCTTTTAAGAACAAACAAATTGAGATTGCAAAGTGGTTTTTCAGAAATTTATTTATTTATTTTATTTTTATTTATTTATTTTTTTATTTTCCCATAATTTTATTGATAGACAAATAGCAATGAGATAGTTTCAAATCACATTGGTAGGACAGTTTCAATAATTAAGGTTTTTCAGAAATTTAAAGAAAAATGTTTGATCAGAATTTATTTATGTCAAACTGAAAGTATGTAAACATTTTATGGTAAATACGCATTTTAGTCTAACTTATCTGACTATTTCTTTAGCTGCTTAGTTAATTAGAAGACAACAAAGTTACAAGTTTTGTGGGGTTGGGGAAGGCAAACTACAGAAAATACTAAAAACATTTACTAGGTAAGTACTTGTTTGCAAGGAGTTCAAGGCCAGCCTAGGATATGTAATGAGTTCAAGACCAGTCTGAACTACATAGCAGACTCTGTCTCAAAAAAAACAAACAAAAAGAAATGTATTGTAATTGCATTATAGCTTTCCTATAATTTCTGAAGCAATCACTGTTGAAGTATAGTTTAATACTTAATGTCTGATAATTGAATTTAGTAGTTACCTGAATTTTAAACTACATGGATCGTGCATTTTTCAAAGTACAAGATAATGTGATTTAGACCATAAAAATATTAAAAAGATGACAATAATTATTAGAAAAAATCAGCAAATATTTTTCAAGTGTTTAAGCTCTTGTACTCACTTTATACGTATTCTTAATACACCCGCAATCTTACAATATAGTCATTACTTCACTATAATAGAGAAACTTAACTTGGTAAGTATCACGATTGGTACAGCTGATACTTGAACCAGTGAGTATGAGGCCAGAGCTCCTAGGTACCTCACTATGCAACCTCTAGAATTTATACGGAGTTTGGCTAGGTAATTGAAAAATACATTATAGATTTTATAGTGATTCGATATCATGAGTTAATCAGTAATGTGCAACCTTACCCTTACAATAAAAATAATCTAAGCTTTGTTGTTGTTTACTATTGAGCATTCATTTGGTTACCTTTATGCCTCAATGTTTTTGATGAAATATTTCCAGGGACTAATTATTGTTTTGCTTTTTCCTCTTAACAGCATTGGATTCAAAGGCTAACAATTTGTCCAGTCTGTCCAAGAAATATCGCCAGGATGCGAAGTACTTGAACATGCGTTCCACTTATGCCAAACTTGCAGCTGTAGCTGTATTTTTCATCATGTTAATAGTGTATGTGCGATTCTGGTGGCTGTGAAGTAGTAAACACAGTCACTGGTAAGAGACAACCTAGAACCTGGCAGGTGTATGTTTTCAGGAAGCTGAGCTCACAGGGATATGTATTAGAACCCAAGTGGAACTTCTGCCTCTAAAGATCTTGCAAGAAAATACATCCTGAAAATGAAAGTTCGCGCCTCCTTTAATGAAGCTTAACCCTATGTGAAAAGTCTCTTGGGGGCAGAGGCTTTCTCTGGGTGCTAAGCCATACATGTTAGGGAACAGTAGATTGTTTTATTTTTTTCCCCTCCCAGTAAGAGTTTAAAACAGCACTGACTGGGACATTCTAATCCTCTGATAGAGCCATCAATGGGATGTAAGGTAACCAACCAGCGCTAGCAGCATTCGGAGTTCCTTCAAAGAAGACAGCCATTTGGGAAGGTTTTTGACTTTAAATAACATTCCTTTTGTTTGTGACATTTGTGACTTTCAGTAAGCTGAGTTTTTGATGGCCTTTACACCAGACTCCAAATATGTGAAGGTTAATGGCTGTACTGCACAGATTCTGTCTGTTGGCCTCTAACTAAACTTTTATTGTTTTCCTCTTATATTTCACTTATTTCCTAGTTGCTTTAGAATTAAATGAATTATGTTAGGATGCCTTGAAATTACCTAGCACTCCTCGATTAAGAAGTTAAAGTTTTTTCTCACTCTTTGAACATAAAGACTTAAATTAGTTTGGGATATTATTAAATTTATTTTGTAGCATTTGGTTTATATTAATATAAGAGCAACATAGCATAGCATAGCCAGAGCCCCATGGCTTAATAAAAAGAAAAGCCCAGCCTAGAACTGCAGTTCGTCAACCCCCTCATTCAGTTTGTTCACTATAGTTTTCCCCACTCCTTGTTTCCCTTCTGCCATAGCGTAACATTTTAAAAATTCCCCTGTGCCTAGTAATTTCACATCCCATAAACATCCTCAGTGTTTTCTTAAATTTTAAAATGAAAACTATCCAGTTCTATAGATTTAAAACTTGCAGATCACTTACTAAAATCTCTAGCTTCGTTTATCTGACAAGTCTCAGAGTACTTCATTGCTATTCAGTTTACATAAATTCTCCAGGAATGGTCTAGAGATAAGTAATTAATTTACAGTGGTTTCTACTAATAAAAATAACTGATTATTTTTCCTTTTTGCTCAGGGATAATGGAGATTTCCTTTTACCTTCTGAGGTAAATGTGAAGAATAGGCCTCTTGAATGTTATCACAAGGGCCTATGGTCTATACAACTTGTAACTCCTACACATACTGCAAATATTTTTTAAAATTATGTAAGGAGGATGAGCCAACATCTTATTTTTGAACATCTTTGAAAAGGTAACAGTGGGCAAGTTTATGACCCAAAGGAATCCTCAGAGCTACTGTCCTGATTCCTGGTAGGGAAAATAGTCATTTTCTTGTTAGGCAAGTAGAAATGTTTATTTTTATTCCTTATAATTTACAGAACTGAAATAATTTTTTTTCTTTCTATTATGACCTAAATTTTCTTTCAATGGCCTAAAATTTGCTCATTGGAGTTTTGTGCATGAAATCAGAGGTTAGTTTTTACAGAGAATAAGTACTTTTAAGTCCCTAAAGGGTTTATTCCTTGAGTAATGATATTGACAATAAAAGTCTTTGAAAGACCGAGAACCTAAATAGTGGTACCATAACATTCGGTGCTTCTGTAGGAGGAAGGGTGGCAGCTCATTGTTGAGAGTTGCATGCTGCAGTCAGCAGTGAAATAAATATTTCTAGAATGTTCCCTTCAGTGTGAAGTTTTGTTACCTAGTTTACTTATGTACACATATCCATTATAAATGCATTTCTACCTAATTTTAGTGAGGTAATTAAAAAGAGATGGAGTAAATAATGAACAAGAAAGTGATTTAAGATCAGGGCAGGGGGGAAATGAGAGATTAAGACTCATAGTATACCCCCTTCTGCTCTTAATATGAAATAGCAAGAAGTTGTAACTAATGAACTATATTAGCAAACCAAATATCTAAAATAGAACGTGACAAGTACTGTATGAAGTACTTACAGAAGTGTAACATAAAGGAAGCTTATTTCTACAGGAGAAGCAGGGGACAGTCTAGGGAGTATCAGTGGTATGTACGAGACATAAAGAGTGAGGCACATTTTGGAAATGTCATAGCTTGGTTCAGTTTAACTCAGGATAAGCACAAGTGACTGCAGAGACAGAAAAAAACTTCTATACTGCAATAAATGCACTTGTCTACCAAGCTAATACAGCTTCAAATGATCATTTGGCCATAATATAAAAATAATACAGAGTGACAAGATTGATGTATGGTGGCTGTGCCCATAATACCAACACACAGGAGGCTGAAGCAAGAGGATCACTGTGTGTTTGAGGCCATCCTTAAATACAGTAGTGAGTTCAAGGCCAACCTGAACTATATAATGAGATGCTGTCTGAAAAAGTAAAATGTAGGGAGATGAAACAAAGACGCCATCAGACACAGAATTAGGCAAGCTAGTTTTTTAGTGACTTTCAAGAAAGTACTGGTCAGAGGTACCAAATTTGTTTTAGGAGCTTAATTCTCACATTGACCAAACCTTTCAAAGTATGTTCACACTATTCTATGAATAAAGAATGGAAATAGAGCTGAGGCACTAAAGAGTTAAGTAATTTGCCCAAAATCACAGAGCTAGAACGTGGTGAGCCAAGATTTGAAACTAGTGGTTTGGCTCTGAAGTCTTTGTTTTTAACCACCATACTATCCAAGTAAGTAAATGAGATCCATACTAAGAATACATTGTATGTTTAGCAACCATAAACTTGATCATGCAAGCAGAAGTAATTCTAGAGGGCTGATGATAGAAGCTGGTTTGCAGTGGACTGAGGATTGGACCACTAGAATCAAAGACATAAAATTGCTCTCACAAGGAGCATTTATGTTTTTGTGACATTGAACTTCGTGGCTTGTCTTAATTAAGAAATCTCCTAAATATCAAAATTTAGAAATATGTGGTGCATTGTACATTACCTAGTCATTTAAATGTCTTAAGAGGAATTTCTCAGCTTTTTGAGAAATCTTTAGAAAGCTGATAAAAAGGGTGCACCTTCCCCCAGAGAAAAGTTCATGTGTACGTGCATGCCCTGTATGTACCACTTCAAGCTATTCAGGCCAGCAAAGCCTGCTCGTCTTGTGTGATCCAGTTAAGAACTCCACATGTATAGGATGTGGAATTCAAATTTAAGTACCCAAAAGACTTGAAAACTTGGTTGTGAATTAGAAATATTCTACAGTTTAAACAACTTTTTAAATATGGTGTATTGAAACTCTGTACAGAAGCATTTGTATCAAATAATATTTTCCTGTACTGTATTCAGAGATTTGGGTCTTCTGGAAAAAAAAAAAAGAAAAAAAAAATGAGGTTTCTCTCTGTTCCTTCAAATCACATTTAAGGAATTTGAAACTTACATGTTCTACTTTTATGAAAAATCTTCTTTACAAAACCAAGTTAAAAAGGCAAGTGTGTAATAACTTGTGCTCACACAAGACTTAATGAAATATGTAGAGTAAAACATCTCAGTTTAAACCTCTGGGAATGTTCACCATGATACTAGGGCCTGAGGGCTAATGGCCACACAGTTAAGGCTGACACATTGGAAGTACTCAGCAAATAGCTGCAGGAGGTGTATGGTGAAGTATTAAAAAGAAAAGCACACCATTTTTGGAAATAATACTTTGAAGGGGGAAAAAAATAACTAAACTGGGATATAGGCTTACTGAAAGAATGGAAAAATAAAGAGGCATATTTAAGAGAAATCAGAACAAAAGAAAGGACCAATAAGATTGTATAGTGAATGCTTTGGAGAAGAGGAAAGCAGTATAGCAAAAAATTAACTTGTTTTTTTAGAAGAAACAATCAGAGAAAATGAAAAAGAAGTAAAGGTAAGTTAGGAGAAAAAGCACAAAAGTCAAATAGCTTGGTAGATCTTAAGTCTGGGAATGTTTCCAGTTGACTGTCATGCCCATGGTTGCTTTTATATTGTATAGGTGATATTCAATCTTTTCATATCAAGCATTTAGCCAACTTTTCATATGAAAAAGTGACTTCAGTTTAGTGATTAAATACCTCAACCAACATACTGTGTAAGGTAAATACCATGCTGAAGTTAAAACCTGGTTTGAGGCTTCGTTTTGACTACTGACCTAACCTCCCAGTTACTGCTTTGCAAGTCGTGGGTGAGCACTGAGGTCTGTTGGGCTGGCTGCGTAGGGAAAACAGTAAGACCAATAAAGAGACTGACAGTTCCGTCTATTTGTATGCCTTTTTAGTCACTTGCATTAATACAGTGTGTTACTTACACACTTCAAAGTTTAAAATAAAGTTTCTAATTAGTTTTTCTTGGTTTTTTCCCCTTATTTTTTCATTCTTCATTTTCTTCTACATTTCCCAATCTGTTTTCCCTGTTCTGGTTTGGCTTTACAAATATAAAAACTGCTTCTTAAGTGGCCTCTTTATATGTTAAAAAGAGACCCTAAGAATTCTAAGCAAAAGTTCAAGAATTTTTGTTATAATTACAATATAGCCTTACCAAAATCATTCACAAAGCTTCATGTTTTTAATCTACTGGTTGAACGCTGGTGTAAAATGGAAATTGCTGAAGAATAGTGGAGATTTATATGAACTATATCATTCGTGTACATCACTTGGAGCAGGTAAATGGGTAGAGTATTGAACTGTGGGTCAGGATGAGCTCGGTCCAGATTGCTACTCCTGTAGTAGGGTGTCTTGGTTACTTTTCTCATTGCTGAGACAAAATACTCAATGCCCAAATTAAAGAGGACAAGGGTTTTTTGGTTTGTTTTTGGGTTTTTTTTTTTTTTTTTTTTTTGGTCTCTTGTTTTCATTTATTACCCTTTTTTTTAAAACAAACATTTACTTGAGAGATAGTATGGCAGTAATTGGTATGTCATGACAAGCAGGACATAATTAGAAGACCAGAATGACAGGCATCCCAAGCATGACCCTACCGTTACACATTGCTTTCTTTAGTGCAGTTGCTTAGTTCATAGGTAATCAGCATATATGAGAACGAGGTCTTTATTTAGCTCACAGCTTGTGGAGGTCTCAGTCCGTACTCAGCTGGCTCCAAGGAAGGATGGCTGGCTGAGGGGTGACAGTTCATGGCAGCGAAGACAGCGAAAACAACAAGAGCAAAAAAGGAGGGTCAAGAGCAAGCCTCCCTTCCTCCCTTATGTTCTGTCCAGGCTCCCCACCCCAGGGTGCGTGCACTCACACCCATAACCCAGCATTGGACCACAAATCAATCAGAAACTAAAGCCTGCACCCATAACTGCATGAGGCTTTGGGGGTGATATCTAGATGCAAATCATAACATAGGGCTTTAGATAAGTTACTTAAGCATGATATGGCTTTGTCCACATGTGAAATGAGAATGCAATCTGCCTGCTTGAGAGAGGAGCAAAGGGGGTAAAGGCAGCAATAGTTGTGAAGATGGCATAAACCTTAAAAGTCACTGTATTACAAATATTACCCTATTATGATTATAACTGCTCAAAGAAAGTGTGACTAGGACAGGAGTACATATTTTTCTGGAAACTAGTACCCAGTTCCACAGTTCGTGCTGATGGAGCAGAATCGCTGCGGTTGCAGTACAGTGTAGGATTCTTTAGTATGGTCCATTTCTCAAGCTTTGACTTAATGTTCCCAGGAGAGGGCAGCAAAACTCCAGTCCAAAGACTTACTTCCTCAAAGCTTCCAACGTAGTTTGAGGAAAACAGTTACACTATGAAGAGAACAGTTTTAAAATATTTAAATCTTTTGGCCAGGAATGGTGCTACATGTCTGTAATACCAGCTTTTGAGAGGTTAAGGCAGAAGGATTGCCATAAATTCAAGGTCAGCCTAAACTACATATAGTGAGATACGATCTTTAGGTGACAAATGAAGCTGTCACACAGTAAATTCCATAGCCACTATACTCATTTCAAATAATTTGCTTCTATAAGTCCTCTGAGAAAATAATCATTTCCTTAATCTTGCTTTAATGATTTAACATATATTCAGAAAACTTTAGCCATGGTTTCCTACTGTGTCACTTAGAGTGAGTTTTTAAGTAATGGAGGGGGAAAGAGGAAAGTAAAGGTCTTAGGCCCAATTCTTCACCAATTTAGAGTGCCTTGCTAAGCTCAAAAAGGGATTCTCCACAGTGTCTCAATATCCTTGTGTCATACAGAAAATGCTGTCCATATCTAATCTTAGTTTATTTTAAAGAACCTTTGTTCTTTTAATCAATGAACCATCTTATAGTATCAGTTGGCTGGTGTTGGTTCTTAGTAGCCTAAGTGGTATGACTGAAAAATAGTGGCTGCTTCGTACAGTAAGACGCATCACCATTGATTCCTCTCATTTCAAACACGTGTTCTGTCCTTGTTGCCCATTGCTGAAGCATTTTTGGAAATCTTTCTCACATTTTATTTGCACTGCTGTGGCTCCCTTGATGTCCTGGATTGATTCAAAATGCTGACCTTTCATGGTCATTTAGACTTTGAGGAGAAGCCAGAAGTCACATATATGGCCCCAGCCCCACTGAGTAAGGATGAAGAAACTTTTTATGAGCCTGCATTTAAGTTGGGTGACACTTGATAGCAGCCTTGACTGTTTTTTTGTCACTTTATAAAGACTGTGCTTTAGCTAGCCCAGGTTCGGTGAGTGTGCGGAGAGTTTCCTGCTACCCTGCGCCGGCGGGA